AAGAATGCAGGTAATCACAAATTTAATAATAAGATTATGCGGTACGGCTAGTTTCCTGAGCCTGTAGGCATAAAAGGACAGTTTTTGAACTTCAGTGAAAACGTTGATGACATGAGCAGACCAGGACAGGTTATGGATAAGGGTGACACCAAGGTGTTTGACAGATGTAGATTTGGGAATGCTTTGATTGTTAATTCTAAGATCAGGGAGATCATCAACTAATGAAAAATAACGGGGACCGGTTTTAAGACTAAATGGAACTTCGATGCACTTACTGACGTTAAGTTTAAGGGATCGGGTCACAGACCAATCGTGAAGTTCATTAAGACTGTCCTGGAGAGGTCGAAAACTGTCTGAAATGGGGGCTGGGTAACTGATCACAATATCATCAGCATACTTACAAGCAATAAAGTTGGTGGGGATGGGCAAATTTTGTATATACATGGAAAACAAGAAAGGAAACAAAATGGCATCCTGAAAACCACCGGCCTCAATGTTAATGGAAGAAGATTGTACACCGTTGAGTGAAGTAAACTGAGTCCTACGGGAGAAGTAGTTGATTAGTATATTCAAGACTTCAGGAGTTAGACCACACTCAGAAAGACGATCAATAAGCACACTTCGGTCGAGAGTGTTGTCTTTGGTCTAAGCGTATGAGCAACGGTGTCAAGTGTGGATAAATGGGGTTTATAAGCAAATTGTAAAGGGTCATGGGCGTTACAGTGGGGTATCATGCGGTGCAGCAAAACATTTTCAAAAGCCTTCAGCAACACAGATGTGCAGGCAATAGGACGGTACTTTGACGATCCTTTCTTTGGGATTGGTCTGATCCGGGCTGACCTCCAACAATCGGGGATCGTTCCAGATGACAAACAAGTACTAAACAATTCGGCAATGGGTGTCGCAAGCTGGTCGGCGCAGGCTTTCAATAAATGAGGTGCTAATCCATCGGGACCATGAGCTTTATTGGCCTTGATTCTCCTCAAAACTTGGAGGACCTCGTCCGGAGAAACAGGGTTAATTGCATCATGGGTAGGAAACGGAGGTGGGAGGGAGCTAGATGCAGGTACAGAAGCAAATTGACGGTTAAGTACCTCAACGTTGGGACAAGAACTGATGCGTGAGCCACAGAGTTTCCGCAAGGTAGTCCACATCTCACGAAAGTTTTTATTGCCCAAAACAGTCTCGATGCTACTTCGGTTGCGAATCATCTATATCACGTTGTCGATGTATTTTTTCATCGAAAACCGGTAGCTTATTTTTCATAACCCCGATACACTTTTACCGTCTCATTATTGCATGATTAATTCCCCATGCTTTTCAATCAGTCGTATTACCCCAATACTTTGCCGGGCGTCTAACCATCTTTTTCGATTTGGCTTCACAACCCATTTTTGAAACATCAATTTAGTTTTTTTTTTCTCTCACAGGTTGCTACAAACACAGAGACCAGCAAAAACGTTGGACATGCGATCCTTTACGAGATCGTGTTAACTATCATGGGTATCGAATCTGACCCGGGACTTCGAGTAAGTGCCATTGTTTCCATTTGAAGCAACTTACAGTACATCTGTGCATCGTCTGTTCCCTGTCCCTCATCAGTAAATTCAATACCCACTGGCCTTTAGTTCTCTTTATCAATTTCGTAAACTACTGTGTACCACACGTATTCGAGAGTTGCACAGCAAAAAACATAAGACGGATGATGTGGCTATCTTGTCTACGACAAATGTAGCTCCGTGCGGTCTGTTGAAATACACCCGAGTTTGGTAAGACAGAGTACGTTAACGCTGTTTACGTCTCTCACTGCAGCTTCACTCACAGATCGATCATATGAAGCTCACTGAATACGGCTGAACTAAAAGTCTCTTCAGAGAGATGAAGAGAGAACGGTAACACACGAGGTGTGAAGTAAGGTGTCCAATACCAACAGAACAAGCTGAGCTCATGAAACAGAACTTATAATAAACGATGAAAAAATAAATGAACGCCCAATCAATATCTGCAGGAGTAGCTTTTGCGTAGCAATAGAACATTTAAACCGATATTTGAAAACTAAAAGGCACTACTAGAGATAATTTTTGGAAGAAATAACCCATCTCATCAAACCGGATGACGTAATATGCTCTGTTCAATCGAATTGTCTACTTGACCAGTTTCTGAATACAAAAAATGAAAATTCATCAAATGAAACAGTAGTGAAACGAATGAAGTAAGTTACATCAGAAGCCTTCAATGCTTTCCAACGAAAACAGTTACCGAATTTCCCAAGGACGATTAGTTGAATTTTGTCATGTATACGTTCTTCGTAGTGGACGATTATTTTTCGGCATGGATTGTTGGCAGTTTATCCTCTTTGAAGTATCAATTTAAGTTACCTCTAATTCGAAACAGTAAGGTTGAAAAAAGATGAGTTATAAAAATACTAATCCTGTTATAGGTGGGCTACAACACTCTCGCTTGGTGCAGCACAAAACATTTAATGTGATGTTTACCATAGTTTCCGAGATTCATTTATGGGTGATGGCTCTCGGACGTCAGTGTTTGCTTTTCTGGATCGACTAGCACCAATGAGAGCCGACATCCTGTCATTTGTTCTGAGTCTTTAGGATGACCGGCAACATACTAATGTGTCCAACCGAGGCTCCATCGTGACACAACAAATCAGTGACCGGACTATCTTGTGTCATCTTGAGAGTTTACAGGTTACGAGAATCGTCGGAAAAATTTGTTGCTTCGGCTATTTGTTTGCGTTCATTTTCGGTATGTTAATTGGATGTTTTTCGTCACCGATGTTCAGCAAGGACTAGATTTCCCATGCGCTTTAACTCCGTTTCTTGATGAAGGTGCTCGCAGTGAACATACTCGGACGCTTTTTATTAAATCCGGACAAAGACATACGCTACGTTGCTCTGAATACTCTGTTACGGGTAGTTCACGCTGACTGCAAAGCTGTACAACGCCATAGAGCTACTATTTTGGACTGCTTGAAGGATCCGGACGTTTCTATCCAACGGTACGTTAGTTTCCTTTGCTGCAGTTACTCATTTTTTAACTTCAGGATGCATTTGTTGTAACAGTCTGACTC